CCCCCCCCGTATCATGCCACCACCAGCAGCTGCTACTCATGCAGGCCTTGCTGGGCCTCTCAGAGGGAGAAGCTGCAGCTGTCACAGCAACCGGGGGCTCTGGAGCAAGAAGGTCGGGGCAGGGGCTCTTGCACCAGGCTCCGTTTCTCATCAGCAGTAGGGGCTTTTTGGATCAGATTGCAGAAGGGCTTCGATCTGACCACCCTTCCTATCTGAGAGGCTGGGCAAAAGCGGCCTGGGGATACAAAATCTGAGAAACTCTAGTAGGTATCAGAGAGCTGTCCTAGGACTGTGCCCCACCCCACCCCATCTCCTCCCCTGTGCGGCCCTCTGTGAAGGCTCCAGCCACAGTGAAGCAGGCTTGGAGAGGCAGTCAGAGAATAAGCCTCTGGCTGGCTGCCTTCCTTCCTTCCTAGGAATGGGGACGGGGAAGGGCAGGTTCCTGCAGCAAAGGTGAATCCTCGAGCAGATCCTTAAGTCACTGCCCTCACCAACCCGCAGCACTGAGCGGCCATGAGCTATAACCGCAACTCCAGCGGGTCACTGTCCAGCCCACCAGGACCAGATGCCCGGCCATCTGGGGACCAGGAGGATGCTCCAGCCTCATCGCCTGCGCGGCTCAGGATCTAGCGCGTCTGATCCCAGCCTGCCCTGAGACAGCCTCCCAGGCCTGGGAAGGCCCTCCCGGGGCCGTAACATTCCCCAGGACCCCAGCACACAACCACAACAGTGGCGGACAGCACACGGTCCCTGACGGCCCACAGCTCCCCTTCCCGAGTCTCTCATTGGCTCTCCCGACACCAGGTGGCCGGACCCACCGCCCCCACCGAAAGAAGTGCATTCTGGAGGCAGCGTGGCATGCTGGGACCTGTAGTTCATGGCCCGACCTCGGCCGAGACTGCCTCTCTGGTCCCTTCAGCCTCAGGAGGCAGTCCCGACGCCCCGACCCGAACCACACCGGCCCGAGGACAAGACGCTGCCGGCTTCCCAGGTGTGAGCCTCGGCTGAGACACCTCCGAGCCCCCCGGCCCTGGAAAGAGAAGTGCAGCCAAGGCGACTAACCGGCTCCGCTGGAGCCTAGATCGAGAGCCACGCCCCCTGGGGGCTGGGAATCTGGCGCGGACTTCCCAACGCTCGAGTGGGATTGGGCCGTTCTGTCATGTGATTAGGGGCTACGCGCCTGGTTGGCTGCAGCCTAGATCGACGGTTACCGGGGCGACGGAGCGGGCGGGCACTGGGGCCGGGTGGTACTGTGGGTCCAGCGGGGCGGGGGGGCCGGGCCGGACGGGGGAGGCGCGAGGCAGGCGGGACCGCGGCCGGTTCGCGCTCCCTCCGGGGCTGCGCGCCCCCTCGGCTGCGCTCGGCACCGGGGCGCGGGCAGCAGATGGGAGCTCGGGGTGCCCAAGATGCGGGCGCCGGCCAGGGAGCTCTTCCGGGACGCTGCCTTCCCGGCCTCGGACTCCTCGCTCTTCTCCAGCTTTTCCACGCCGCTGGCCCAGTTCCGGGAGGAAATCACGTGGAGGCGGCCCCAGGTGGGGCAGCGGGGCGCGCGGGTCTCACGGGTCTCGCGCCAGGCCTCCAGGCGCTCCTTCCTGCAGGGGTGCGAGCGCGGCTGCCGGGGTTAGCCGGGGCTGGGTGCACAACGGTCGGCAGGGTCTGCCGCCGCTGTCCTCCTGAGTGGGCTCCCAGGCCCCCTCCCCAGCCCACTCGGGGTGTGCTGGACCCGAGTTTACGGCCCCTACCTGCGAGAGCTCCATTCAATAGGAGATTCAAGCCACAGCGAGAGGGGCGTTTTAAGAGACGCAAACTCAGCCCCACTTGCGTCTGTTTTGAAGAGCTTCCAGTCTGCATGGCTCTTCTGGCCACAAGCGGTCTCGTTCTGTTTCTCATTATGTTCTGGAAGGGCCAGGCTGAGCGTACAAGCAAAGCCGTTTTGCTCTGCACGTTCCTGTCTTGGACCTCGTGCACTTGCACTTTCAGATGGAATTATTTTAAGGTGACAGTTTAGAGGGATGCTCTGGCCTAGTGCTATGCTAATATCTTTAGAGATGGTGTATCAGCTGAATAAGGCTGTCCAAGGAACAGTCTCTCCCTGAGTGTATGCAGTCTTCGTGGGGACACATCTGTGTGCACCAGCCCTGGAAGAAGGCCAGACCTGGCTCTGGCTGTTGAGGTGCTTCCCGTGGGCAACACTGAGAGGGCCTGTTTGGCATGGAGGTGCCAAGGGCACATGATCGGCCATGCCGGTGGAATTGGGGTTAAAAAAAAGTGTGTGGGGGTGGATTTTAGGGACAATGGGAGGCCATTAGAATGTTTTTAGTAGAGGAGTGATTCGATTTGATTTACGTTTTAAGAAGCTCACCCTTACTGCCAGGCGTGAAATGGATTGTTGGGGCAAAAGAATGCAGGTGGCCATTGCAGTGGGCCTGGAGGAAGATGAAGGAGCTCAGATTAGTGTGACAGCCGTTGGGATGGGGCTTTGGAGTGGATGGATTTGAGAGATATTTTGGAGGGGGGATTGATAGGTCTTAGTGACCGACTGGAAACTAGAGCTGGGTTCATGGTGGTCAGGAAATGGGGAGAGAAACTTATATTTACATAACGCTCATTATATGCCAGTAAAGGCTATAGGTATTCTATGTGCACAGAATTTATGCCCTTGATTTTATTTAGTCCACCTAATAATTCTATAAGGTTGGTACTTGTGTCTCCATTTTACAGACCAGGAAACCAACGTTAAGTCAAAACGTTGCCCAAGGTCTGAGAACTAAGAAGTGGCAGAGGTAGGTCTGAGACCCGAGTTTGTCTTAGTGACCGATTGGAAGTAGATGGTGAGAATGAAAGAGGGACCAAGAATGACTTCTAGATTTCTAGCCTGAGCACCTGGGGGGATGATGGTCCCGGTTGCTGTGCTGGGGAAACTGGGAGGTGGGGGAGAGCTAGGGGTGGAAATGTAGGCTTGGGTTTTGCTCTCACAGGTTCAAGCGGAGCTGACAGTAGGCAAGTGGATATGAGAGTCTGGAGCTCAGGAAGACCTGGGCTAGATGCTCCACTGGGAGCTGGGACTGTAACGGATGGCTTACTGTCCAGGGTCTGGAAGGGTATCTCAGGAGAAAGTATGGGCAGAGAAAAAGAGGCGGCTTGGAACCGAGCCTTGAGGAACCACCGGTGCCTTGACAGGTAGACTTGAGAAGTGGCAGGCAGTGAGGGGAAAGGACAGCCAGAAGCGCTTGGAATCATGGAAGCCAGGAGGGGACTGCTGGGGTCGGGGGCAGCCACTGCTCTGATGCTGCCGAGTGTTGGGAAAGACAAGGACAGAGGATGCCCGTTGGGGGTGACGACACGGAGGTGACATTGATAAAAGCAGTTTTTGGGGCATGGCTGGCTCAGAAGCAACGAGGTGTGGCAAGGAGCCGGAGGGAGGGAGTAGGGGCGGCAGCTCTTTCGAGAAGTCGGTCAGTGACGGGCCTAGAGGGGAAATAGTGCCCAGGGACAGCATCTTAGAGAAGGGGAGACATCCTCTCCCGTGCCTTATGCTGGTGGGATCCTCCCTGCAGAGAAGGAAGGAAGCGGGGATCGTAGGAGGGATCAGATACTGAGGGCAGGAACGGGGTCAGGTCAGGGGGCTTCTGATGGAGCATCAGGGGAGGCCATCTGCTCAGAGGGGCGAGGGTGTTTTGAGAAAAGAAGGAGGAAGGAGAAGGGGTAAACTAGTCTGGGGTGAGGAAATTGAGCCTTTTAGAGAAACAGTAGAGGACCCACTTGAGACTTGCCTTTGTGAATTTAAAGTGAAACCGTTTTCTAGACCAACTGTTTTATGAAAGGCAGGGTAGGATTCATCCAGAGTTGGGAGTTTTGCCAATTAAGGAAGGTGGACAGAGACAGGGACCCCGGAATCGAAGTTGGATGCGACGATCTGAAGCCAGGAGGGGCTGACGGATACTGGCTGCAAGAAGCCAGCTGCTTCCCATCCCCTCTTAGGCAATGTGGATGACCAGAAAAGCTCCTCCCCAGCCCTTGTCACATAGATCCTGTGTTCTTAGTTTTAAAGCTAGCCACAGGCATGAAGTAAATCTGGACGATTTTCTTTATTTCAGGAAATCTGCGCCACGCCCCAGCTGTTTGCAGATCGCGCTCAGGAAGGACAGGTGAAGCAAGGGCTGCTAGGGGACTGCTGGTTCCTGTGTGCCTGCGCCGCCCTGCAGAAGAGCCAACACCTCCTGGACCAGGTGTCTGCCACAGTGCGGCTTCCCCTCTGACCCTTGCTTCCTGTCTGCCCGCGTTGGAAGGAAGCAGGAGGCTCTGCGGGACTCGGCCCTTGGGGGCTCCGAGGCGCAGACGCAGTGACCCCCTCCCGCAGGGGCCAGCAGGGGTGCTTTCCGCCCTGCTCTGCCATCTCCTGAGCCCTGGGTCAGGCAGGCATTTGGAATAAAAAGACAAACGTGCCAGCCCAGGGTAGGAAAGGGTTGGCTGAGAGGTCCTATGCTGCTTTGGAGTAAGCTTCCTAGCTAGTTGCGGTTGCTTTTTTTTTTAACAGGTTTTGAATATAAATTGGCAAAAGGTGGTTAAAACTGTTTCCGATGCTAAGCAGGTACCACAGTTATAGAAGGCCTGTCAGGCTTCTTCCCCAGGAGCCCTCACGGCCTCACTAAGTGTCACCGATACAGGCAACAGTGTTGACGGTGGTGACCCCTTTCCGAGCTGCTCCCATGTCCCAGGCCCTGTGCTAAGCCCACCCCAGTTGCTGGCTTTCATTCTCACAGGACTTGCTGGCTTTGACCCTTTCTTACAAACAAGGGCACGAAAACCATTGTCACGTTCCCAGCTAGTAAGGGGCAGAGCCAGGCGCAAACGAGGCCATCTGGGTCCAGAGCCCGTCCTGTCTCTCAGCATTAGGCCAGAATCACAAACCCAGCAGTGAACAGCGGGCCGGGCACTGTCAGAGTTTCTGAGGTCCCAGGCTCCAGCGAGGGGGTCGCTGTGCCTATGGTGACCTGCCACCAGCCACTCTGTCGAGAACTGGGTGACTCAGGCCTATAAAAGTCACATTTGTTTTGGATTCAGGTCACGTGCTTATTGGGAACACTAGGACATAATGGTCGACTTTGACCTCTGGGAGACAGTCGGCTCCCTCAGTGTGGCCCTAGCATCTCTTATTGAAAGGTCTATTAGTCTTCTGTCCAGTAAGCGGGTTTTGCATAAGCACTGCCAGCCAGGCGTCGGGGGAGGCGAAATCCTTTGCGTGATGGGGGTGTACCATTCAGCAGGGTCATGCTCTGCTCGGGATGCTGGGAGCGCACCGCGTGGTCGCTTCTCTCACCGTCTCCTTTTGCCTCTCCCCACGCGCGGCAGGTCTTTCCTCCGGGACAGCCGAGCTGGCTCGACCAGACGTACCGCGGCTCCTTCACCTGTCGAGTTTGGCAGTTTGGACGCTGGGTGGAGGTGACCATAGATGACCGTCTGCCTTGTCTTGCAGGGAGACTCTGCTTCTCCCGGTGCCAGAGGGAGGATGTGTTCTGGCTTCCCTTACTGGAGAAGGTGTACGCCAAGTACGCACGCGGGGGTGGAGGGGCCGGGCCAGGCGGGCTGGGGGCCCGGGAAGCACATCTGCTCACCCTGGGCTGCAGCGTCCTTGTCAGCAGCTAGGGCCTGGTGGCCAGTCCTGGGTGGGGCGACCCGTCCAGAGACAGAAACTCTGAGACTTGACCTGTGGTTTGCTCTCCCCTCTGCCCACTCCCTCCTTCCCTGCCCTCATTACAAAGTTGGGCACGAAGCCCTCGCCTCCAGAAAGAGGGTGTGTGTTTTCCTCTCTCTTTCCGCAAACCCAAGCGAGAGAAATGTCTCTATCTATCTGTGTCACCACTGGGGACAGGCGGCCTCTGTGCAGGTTGCTGGGAAGGAATGAGGCCACCGAGGTACCATGCTCGTTTATCGTAGTCCTGAGACCAAGGACTTCCTCCCCGAGTGTGCTGATGGCCGTGCTGAAAGGCGCTGGGCCGGGTTAGGCAGGCCTCCGCGGTGGGAGTGAGCCCTCCACTGCTGCCGCTGGCGGGGCCGAGGGCCTTGATCATGAGAGACGCAGGACTGGGAGCTCACAGCCTCTGTGCCCGCCTCCCGCTGGTGTCCCACAGGGGCAGAGGCTGCAGGGCACTGCGGGGTGCTGTCCCTTATGGCCTTGGAGGCGAGCTTGTGTCTGGACTTGGTGAGGACAGGGTGGGAGGGAAAG